CTTCTAGGAACCCAGAGGCCCCTTCCTCCTTACCTTTGGGACTTCTGAGTAAGAGAGGGGACACTTGCAGCTTCAAAGGAGAATTAGCCAAAATCTGTCCATAGGAGATCTTTAAGTATAGGATGGGCAACAACCCAGTCTTGCTGCTGACCCTTCGCACAGAATCTCTAGAAACTCCGTAGCTTCTCACATTTTGTGCCGTGGGACTTGGTTGGCTGAATCGCTGCTGAGCAAGGCAAACTCATCTACTAGAATCCACAAAAGACATTTTGTTAATAGAAAAATATTAGTGACTAGCATCCTCTCACCTATTCAATGTTTGCTAATGTCTCTGGCACTGTTATAGAGAGATGAAGAGAACTGTCCCTCCATAGTAGAGGCATTTATTCACACATTTAATCATTCAGCATTGAGGTGCCTGAGATCTGATGAGCACTGGGTATGGGGTGGCCAACGGGGGAGACATGGCCCAGCCTCCAGGAGCTTAGAATCTAAGAGTTTAACAAAGCTCTGTGCAACAGGCAAATCTCTGTGGAAACAAATGCCACGTTCTTCACAGAGAGTGGAAAATTTCTGACCGAGATTTGAAAGGAGTTGTCATGGGTGGGTGGAAATTCAATTGTAAGACTTTCGATTTTTAAGGATTAAGGATTCTAAATTCAAACTCCATAATTTATAAAATAAGTTGACTTCTTGTTGTGTGGCTTAACTTGGACATGCAGTGCTGTCTCACTGGRTTTGGAGCTTAGACCGTCACCGTGTAATCAGAGGGCGGATCTCACTGGATTCTGATTCAGATAGGAGAATACTGGTTATCCGTGAAGCTAGCATCTTCCAACATTCCAGAATCCAGCTTTTGCTTTTATACTGCAATTCTTAAATCTTAAATAAGAAACAGATTCTCCTAGAAGGTGATGTCTTAGAGTCAGCTTGAAACCCTGGTCTTAATTAAAAAGACTTTTATTCAGATTTACTGCACTCCTTATCCATCCAGCATCTTCTTTGTGCTAGGWACCAGGAATCCAAAGGTAAATATTACCTGGCCCTGGGCCTAGCTGTCCACTGATATGATTTATTTATAAATGTACAATTACAATTCATCATCTATGCCAAAAAAAATAATTTAAACAGAGTAGTAGAGTTGAGAACAGTTCATGGAAGAAACGGCACTTGAGCTGGGTTTTGAAAAGGAATTGGCCAGGTGGAGAAATGAGGGTGAGACTTTCCAGGAGGAGGACACAGCGTGTCAAAAGGCCCAGGGGCCTCTCCATGTGTGAAAGAGCATTCTCTGACTGGGAACCAGTGAATTGGGAGCCTAGGATACCCGGGGACAGGGAGAAGAAAATGGGTTGGAGAACCAGTAGTTAATGCTATTAAGATGGATTGAAGCCTAGAAGGTATAGGTGCCTGAAAAAAGCATCCTCTTCTACTGTGCACTATCCGAATGAGCAAATTTGTTTGCCTTTTAAAACAGAAACTCAGGTCCACAGATATGTAGATGAGCAGCAATGCACTGTAGCTATCAAATCTACTATTATTTCTGGGGCCCTATTAAACACCCACGCATAGGCCAAGTTCCATCCTGTGTCTTTCATCAGCATACTTTGTCCTCCGGATGATCTGGATAGATGGAGAACCAACGTATTTAAGGGGATGCTGGGTAAAATGTCCAGATACGTTAAGTTGCCCTAAAACCTGAACCAGTGCTGTGCACTGAAAACATGTTGTGTAAGATTCTGTTCTTGTATTGCCAGTCTATCTTTTGACTCATGGAAGAAAATGCATTCGTACACTTTCTGCACCAAGGTGCTGTTTCTCTGAACATCCCTGACCCAGTGTGCCTTGTCACTGATCCCAGGGCCAGAGGATTGAGTTCAAAGTCAGAGACCTGACAATATAGAGGGACCTGAGGATATAGAGGGATGATCCCCCCCTTCCCTAGAACTCAGCCCCTCCAGAACCTTCCTCCACATGGCAGGCTGGCAGGTGTGCCTCAGCAAAACGGGAGGAGATGAGCTGCTCCTGGGTGTGATTTTTCACTGAATTCAATCCAGAGGGAATGAAAGGCCTTCGGAAGTGAGCAGCAAAGCCCCAGAGCGTTAGATGTCTGTGTGATTGTTGTGGTCTGTGTCTGGAAGCCCCTGAGGGGGACACTGCCCCAGTTTTGTGACAGCCTACTCAGCCACCACCTGGTGCCTTTCTCCCTCCCAGGCAGTTTGGACAGGTGGCATCTTCCAGAGTGTTGGCCTGAGAGGCGCCATTGCTCCCAGCTCGGCAGCCTCCCTGCTCCAAGTGCTGCAGAGCTGACCTCCACCAATGATTCAATGACAGCAAGCTGAAGACGTCAATAAAACCCATTATAAGTGATAGCACCCTTTCACACAGGCCTGTGGTTCAGAGAATTAATTCCTCCCACCCTCCCAGGAAGCCTCAGTGAAATTAAAGTGGGGATTGACATTCTCACGAATTTCCCATTTCCTGCCTGTGTTTATCAGCAATCTAGGTCAGGACAGTTCTGATCATTTACGTCCTAAGTAAGGCATACAAGGGCAAAGCCCAAAGTCAGCACACCCCTTTATTTCTCTTCCTTCTCCATCCCTCTGGAGAGGAGAGAGTGTTACAGGGTCACAGCGCTGACCTTGCCAGGACCCTGGTCTCAGGAGACTTCAGCACCTTGTCAGGAGCTCACAGTCCCGGCCAGCTATGGTGATGTTCAAACCAGCTGCTGCCACCAGGGGTGATTGGCCATGCAATTTCCCTGAGCAAAGTGGCAGTTGTCATCCGGGCTCAGCCAGAAAGATTTTGATGAGTTTTGCCTTGTCCTGTTTACCATGAAAAGTCCCCTCGTGCTGCTGTGATATCCAGACTGGTTGTTCAAAAGCAAAGCCCATCTTCTCCCTTCTCTTAAGAATGAGTCAGAGTTTTTCTAATGAATGACTCCCCAATGAGTAAAGAAATAGTTGCTTACACAACATTCCTTATCCAACAATAATTTTTGTGAATTTTTGAGATTAGAGTTCAAGGTTTTATTGGAAAAAAATATTTTGAAGAGAAAAGATTTATAATCCCAGCACCTTACCGCAATTTTCATTTCACATACTGGTCTCTAGTATTCTATCTACAGTTGTTCATAATTATGATCTGTGTGTGCATAGTGTTCATTTCTCCTGCTTTTCACTTAATATCAGGTGTTCATAATTATCTTACTGAATGACTGACCATATATATTTCTTTCAGTTGCTAATTTGTCATTTCCTTAGTACCCAAAGAAGGGAGAGATAGTTACTTTGTCATAATTTTCTTACAGATAGTAGTATGTAACTTTTGCTTGCTTTTGAATATTCTTTCTGGAATAACCTCAGAAGGGGGATTTTTGGTTCTTGATGTGTATTGMCTTTTTTTTAAGGATAATATCAATTGATGCTACTACTAGTAAAGCTATGATTTTAATTGTAAATTAAAAGACCTGTGAGATATGGTTATGGAAACAGGTGCCGAACTTAATGGAAAATGGGATTTGTTTGTTATTGGTTTGGGTGAGCTCCTTTACATGTCATCTTCACTGGGCAGAGACCTGCATGGAATCCTAAGGAATAAAAAGAACAACAACAAAAAAAAAAAAATGGAGGAGTGTTTTTTCAGAATAGCTTCCAGGCCACAACATCCTTCTTTCCTTCGATTTCTGGTGGAGTGAGGGAAGCCATTCGAGTGTGAGATTCTGGAAGGTCTGGCCTCAGAACTAAAGCTGTTTCCTCTCGATGAGGGAACAGCTGGAGGTGAGCCATGGCACACAGGAACTCCACGAGAACCGGAAAGAACTTCTTGGTGGACTCTCTTGAGAGAGGATCCAGCTCACAGTAGGTCTTCAGAGTTTATTTTGGAAAAAATTCTTTGATTCTTCTGAAACCTAGAGGCATTGACTTTGGCTGCCTTCCACCTTTTCTCTGGGACATTGGCGCCAGGGGTCACTCACCAAAGGCAAATCCTCTGACGCGAACTGAGGTGGAGAATAAAATGGAGAAGTCTGGCTCCCTGAGAGAGAATGTTCCCTGGGGMAGTTACTGAGCCGTGCAGTTCCCAGATCACCACAGGAGAGAAGGGGTATGGATACACTTGACCCTTCTCCTCCAGATTTGGAGYCACGGGGTGTTGGGATGTACTGAGGACTCTCGTTTTCCAGAGATTCCACCCTGCTGACTGCTCAGGCCAGCAGGATGATCATGGTGCTAGATATCAGTAGAATACATGCCTAGAAAAGTGGTTTCTAACTTACATTTTAGACATGACACTCAGCACCTTGGCCAAAGTCATTTAGCTGCAGTGAAATGAAAGTGTCCTTTGGTTCTTGGAACTCTGGGCCTGGCCCGCAGTCTGCCCTCCACAGTGAATGAGTCCAGGTCTGTCATTTGAACCTATGCTTCTCCTTAATATCCTGCAGCCTCTAGTGAATCAAATCTGTGTGTGCATTTGCTCCACAGTAGTGCAAAGGGCAAAGGACAGCCATTGAGATTTGGGTTCACCCAGAAGCCTCGTTGCCTTGGAGATAGCCTCTATGTTTTGGGGAGGTCAGACCTTTATGGACCTCTGTCTGTTTGGGGGTGATAGAAGGTAGAGTAGCCCTTCATGCTGCTGCTTGTGGGAGAGTTTAGTGTTTGCTATGTCTCCCTGGGAGGGAGATACTGCAGAAAGAAGAAGAGAACAGCTTTGGAGCCATTGGCCTTAACCTCTCTCWACTCTGCCCCATATAAGGGTAGTGACATCACTTACTACATGGCTGTTATGAGAGATCAGGTGATTCCCACAGATCTCTCCTGAATGGAGAGAAGGATTCATGCTGCAAACCTTGAAAAGCATGCCCCCTCTTCCTGCTATCTTCGTTGCTGCTTCTCTTGTCCAAACAGGCAGCAAGCCSTACTCCATGTTCAAGCTGCAGCCATTTATAACTGTAAAAAGAAAATGCCAATCTTCTTTAATTTAGTGTTTTCTTGGATCTCTTGTAGGAGGTGCTTGAACTTGCTTTCTCCATCTTGTATGACTCAAACTGCCAACTGAACTTCATTGCTCCTGACAAGCATGAGGTAAGAGTCTCAGTGGGGTTAATTTATTACAGAACRTTATATTGTTTCTAGAAAAACAGCACAAGGAAAAATACTGGAAAGGAAGAAAAATATTTTGAAGTCTGCCCAAAATAATCATAAACAAAAGGGAATCTTATTATCCTGAGGTAGACTAGAAACCTCTTTAAAAATTGCCAGTTATAACAGGTCCAACTTCTTAGTAGTTTGATTGATATTTCATGTGTGTTAGTCATCTTTCCATTACTGTGACAAAATACTTGAGATAATCAACTTAACAAGCAGGAAAGGTTTATCTTGGCTCAGGGTTCAAGAGGTTTTAGGCTGTGGTTGGTTGAATCTATTATGATTTTTAATCATCTGGTAAAGCAGAACATCATGGCAGGAAGCTTATGAAAGAGAAAGCTCCTTACTTCATGGTGACTGGGAAGTAAGCAAGAGAAAAGGAAGGGTCCAGAGTCCCAATATCCTTTTGAAGGCAACTCTCAATGGCCTAACTGCCTTCAACTAGGCTCCATTTCTTAAAGATTCTACCACTTTCCAATAGTACCACAGGTTGGTACCAAACCTTTAACAAATGAGACTTAAGGGGACATTTAAGGTCCAAATTATAGCATAATGGTAAAGAAAATGGATGTACAAATGCTTCATACTTAGCAAAGRCATAATTGTTAATCCAGAGGAAGAAGCAGCCCTGGCTAGAGCTTTGGTTTTCATTGAATGTTTAGGTTTTTGGTCTGGATTTTCCCAAGATAAACTAGTCTCTATTCTTTAAAACATCTGATGAAGTAGGTTCTCTCCAAGTTTCTTTAAGCTATTTTAAGAGGGTTAGGGCTGTCTCTGCTGTTGGAATTTTATTTCCAAGATGCTTTTATTCCTTTTTGACATCTTGTTATATGTATAATTTGTTTCTCTTCTTGAAGCACACTGTCAGCTATATTTAAAAGGTTTAGCATAAATCTAGGAAAATGCATTTGTAAGACAAAGTAGCAGTTATGGTTGATTTAACTTTTTCTCTTGTAAACTGGAACCCAACATCATGCTTGAAAATTTTATTTTTAGACGATACCATTCAAKTTTTTGTTTTGCATGTCATTGCATAAACAGGTTTTAGAAAGGGAAGGGAACATTTTAGTGAAATCTGACTTTTGTTCCTCATTTCCCCTAGGAGATGTAGCTCATTTAGAAGGTCTTTAGTATCTGGTTTTCACTGGTTTGAAGCTTTTGAATAAAATCGTACATCCCAAAGAAAGAGGAAAGATTAGACACAAATCCTGCATTTAGAATGGTGCTTAAATATAATTCTGTGTCACTTGACATTTAGTTTGCAGAAGGGTAAGACGTTGTCTTCATCTTTCTGAAAATAGACACTGTGTCCTACTATTTCTGTTTTTAAGTAAAAGAGTGGTTATACACAGGCCACCATATTCAAAATGTATAGAACGTTATAGAAAACTACTCAGAATAGTAGAACGTCAGCTGTAATTTAAATCAATGCAAGGCTGTTTTCCCCTGTGTAGGTACATTAATTTCAGATAAGAATATATGCTCTAGGACTGCTAGATTTTTATTCCTGTCACTTCTTATAGAGGCAACGAGGACAGAGATAGCATATGCTTATGAATGCTTATAGCTTCTTCAAAACACTTGCATATTGATTGCCTCATCTTATTTTCACAATCACTCCATAAAATGGAAAGTTCTATTACACATATTATTTATCAAATGAGGGGAGAAAGGTTTCCCAAACTGAAGACCTCAACAACAGAAAGGATAATAGGAATTATAACTAGCCTCATTCATCCTGTGACAGTCCCTATTACATATTATAAATACTGATATAAACGTATAGATATATAATTTTATGTGTGGATCACCTCAATCCTTATGTAACTCTACGAGAAACAAACTAATAGTATCCCTATTTTGTAAAAAAGACAAATGAGGCATACAGAGGTTAAGAAGCTTGGGTTGGGGTTGTAGCTCAGTGACAGAGCACTTGCCTAGCACATGAGAGACACCAAGTTCACTCTTCAGCACCACATTAAAAATAAATAAACAAACAAACAAATAAATAAATAAATAACATAAAGGTATTGTGTTCATCTACAACTAAAAAACAAATTTAAAAAAAAAACAAAACAGTTCTCGAGATCACTCAAATAGTAATAGAGCTAGGATTTGAACCCTGGTAGTCTTTCTCCTGAAACCCTTTCCCATTAACCCCTACACTAGAGGGACAGAGCCAGAATTGAGCTCAGTATTTCCTTCTAGTCCAAACTACTCTTGTGGTAGTTTTTATATCATCATGCACAGTCAACTCTCAGACCCCTACAGTTGTCTAACTTGCATGCTTCTTTTTTCTTTTATACTTTGTTCAAATGAGAATCTAACTAAGATGCACACACTGCAGTTGGTTGCCAAGTTTTAGGTCTCTCTGAATCTTTGGATCCCTCTCTGTTTCTCCTGCTTTCACAATAATGTGCATGTGCTTCTCTCTTCCTTGCAAGTTACTTATTGAAGATACCAGGTCATTACTCTTCTAATGTGGTCAATAGTCTAAGATTGTGCTGATTATAATTCTGTGTATTTGTTACTGTTGCTACTGCAATACACTACCACAGACTGTTAGTATTAAACAACACAAATTTATTATMTTAGAATTCCGGAGGTTGAAAGTCAGATGTGCCTGAGGTACCATCAACATGGTATGGGCTGCATTCCTTTCTGGAAGCTCAGGGGAGAATCCAMATTGTCATTCCTACTTCTGAATGCCTCTTGCATTCCTTGGCCTCCMTCCATCTGCAGCAGTGACAGCTTGAGCCCTCTCATCAAATCAGCCTCCTCTTCTGTAGTCAAATGTCCCTCTGCCTCTCCCCTCTCTTTCTCAATTTAAGGACCCATGTGACTACATTGGACACAGGTGGAAAATCCAGTTTTCCAATAATCTGCTAATTTAAGGTCATCTGGTGGTAACCTTCATCCCCTGTGCCACATMACATAACATTTTCACAGGGTCCAGGGAATAGGATGTGGATATCTTTGACAGGTAGATGTTGTTCTACCCTCCACAGACTGCAATGTCATTTTATACATTCATCCCTTCCTAATATTGCCTATAAATTGGTGTTTAGAAGACTAACCAAAGTCGGGCTCCATTTTTAAGCAGTAGCAATAGTGTTTTCTACTTCTTGTCTTTCTTTTTTGAATGTTGGAAGCTGCTGATGATCATTGCCTTGATCTTTGAATCCACTAGAGTTGCCAAATATTGATATCTCAATTCTGTCATTCTGTCTTCATTTATTAGTGGGATATAGAAAGAGAAACTGGCCTCATCAACTATTTGATTACCCTAAAGTTAGGGTTTAAACATATCTGTGTCAACATATTGCAGTTATTACCAATGCCAGCATCCAAATTATTTTATCTGGGGCAAGTAGGTACACCATCAAGTTAGCTGATGGACACTAATGACGTGACCCTGTGTTTTTGATAATGTTCTGCATTCTGCTATGACAAGAYACACCAGGTTCATCTTTCCTGCCTTTTCTCTCTAAACCCTTGGTTACTTGTGATAGGAAATGGCAGCTATGAGAATCTGGACATGAGGTATGATTATTAACATTTGATCATTATCTTTAGGTCTTTTGGGGGACAAAACTAGAAATTATGATTTTTTTTTTGAGATAAAATATACCATGAGTTGATACTGATAGTTCCAACTCAAAGCAAGTATTACAGGATTTCTAATTGATTGTTCGACATCATTTTTAATAAAATGTTCTTTGTAGGTCACTTCTCAAAAAAATGTTCCTCTGGGTTAATTTGCACCAGGAGTCTGGCCAGGGCTATCAAAGTTGTGTATAGGAGCAGTTATCCCCAGGATTGGGGGATTCCCCATAAAGTGGTGTCAGAGCTGGTAGTGACCTATGAGAGCATGGTATTCGGTGGTACCCATATGTGGATATTCATCAGAATTACCTAGGAAGCTTTTACAGATAAAATTTCCTCATCTAAGAACAAAAAAAAATCAGGATCTCCAGGGTAGAAACTAGGTATCTATTTCTATCAAGGTTATTTGTGAGGAAACAGATGGTTAGACATGTTCAGAATCTGGCTGAGGTATTCATGAGGACACTAATGCTTCCAGAAATCCCTTAGCACTAAACCTATGTTTAGATGGGTTAAATGCTTTGGCTGAGATCACATAGCCAAGGCAGAACCAAAGTCCAAMAGTTCACTGCGGCACTCCTCACACAGGGGGTGCATGCACTTCAGCCCAAAAAATGATGCCATTGGCGTGTATCATGGCAGATTTCCATCCCATCACAGTGACTTAAGAAYGCCACCAGTCTTTTAATGCTACGTTGAGATATGCTTGAATATTCTGGGCTATAATTCTTGTATATTTTGTGGCCCAGGTAGCCACAATCCAAGAATAGACTTAAGCAGGATCTGAAATTGCAACTTGACTCAATAAAGTGTGGAAAGAACTGAATCTAGAGTGTATGCTAGAAGAAAGACCAGTGAGGCAGGAAGCAGAGCAAATGCTATTATAGAGCCCTGTGTAGGACCAGGGACAACCTACCTGGTAGGGAAGCACAGCATCCAAATACAGGCAATTTTCTGAGATGCTGGCAACAGAAGTTGACTCCTTCTCCATGTATCATGGTCCTCTTTCCCATCTCCCTTTGAGATCACTCAATCATTTTAGCCATTTTGGCCACCAGACATTGGGCAGCCAAAAGCTGTTTCCTTACCCTTTCACTGAGAAACACAGGTAAGAACATCTTTGTAGAGTGGAATGGAGCTGGCATTGTGCATGCTAGGAATCAGGTCAGGCAGACATTAGCTAGTGGACTAGGAACAATGATTGGAGTCAAGAAAGAAGCAAGCTTGGCATGGTGCCGTGTCCAGGAGTGTTGGAATATATATATCCCACCATACCTTAAAGCCAGGCATGCACTGGTAGGTTATTAGCAATACTATGCTGCACAACTGTGGAGAACTCAGACCCTCTGCTGCTCCCTAGACATTTCTACATGGAAGAGCAAAGATTCTGGAGGCAGGTTGCCTGATTTCCAATTCCACCCACTCCACTTRCTACCCTTTTACTTAATTTCTCTGCCTCGGCTCTCTAACTTATAAAATAGAGATGACAACAGAAATGTCCAATTTGTAGAGAGGCAGCAGCAAATATTAAATGGCAGAAAGCTCTTAGGGCAGAGCCTAGCAATGTTGAGTATTCCCTAGGTGTTAGCTGTTTGCACTGCTCTTGTAATTGCCAGCAATCGTGATCACCATTGCCTCCTTTCCCTGCCAGTACTGTATCTGGACGGACGGGCTGAATGCGCTGCTTGGGAAAGACATGATGAGCGACCTGACACGGAATGACCTGGACACCCTGCTCAGCATGGAAATAAAGCTCCGCCTCCTGGACCTGGAAAACATCCAGATCCCTGACGCACCTCCACCCATCCCCAAGGAGCCCAGCAACTACGACTTTGTCTATGACTGTAACTGAAGTGGCTGGGCCCAGACAAGCCCCCACACCTCCCAAACTGGAAAATCTAGCTAACAGGAGAGAGGAACGAAAACATAACTCGTGCTTTGGAATCATCTTTTGGTAAAGGGAAGCTGCAGGTCACCCTCTCTTTGGCGTCACCTCTAACCCAAAATTTTTTGGCCCCTTCCACCTCCTTGGATCTGTTTCTGGACGCGCTGCTTTAGATCTCTGCCCATTGCTGCAGTTCACTTGGTGGGACAATAGCCAAAAGCCACTGCTAGCAAGAGAGCCATCGGGCATTTCCATCCTAATCCCTGGCAGGCAAACTCCTTCCTTCCTAGAGTAGGAAAGCCAGCAGCCCCAGACCTCAAGGAATGAATACCCCATGGCCTGTGCCTGGAAGAAATGGCACAGCTACCTGATGGGAAGACAGACGCCATGCTCTCCTTTCCCTTCTCTCGAGGGTCAGCTCATGTCACTGGGTTCATTTGAGTTGAGATCTGCTTTGGGATCTCTCTCCCCGTCTCCTGACTTGGCCTTGCCCTTGTCCTCTTGGGTCCCAAGGGCAGCACCAGTATTCTCATAGTAAGCCTCGCCAGCACTGGGTCTCCCAAACAGCCCACAGAGCCCACGCCCACTCCGCATCTGCACTGTGACCGTGACCAACCACCCGCTGCCCTCTGCGCTAGCTAGTCTTGGGCTTCCTCTCCCTGCCCCAGCCCAGACCTGCCTTCCTCATTTCCACACATGCTCCCAACCTCTTAGCTGAAAGCACAAATGAAATCAGTAGTCACACTCCATCTCTAATAGACTAAACCTAAATGCCTCTATGACGGGCTGTCACTATCCGAGGGTTTCGTGTCACCTTCTCCTGGGGAACCTGCTGCAACACAGGTTTTCCATGGGATGGTCAAGCTGTCAGA